TACAGAGGGAACATGAATTAAAAAGCGATGTGCAGGCAGGGATCGAACTCAATATCTCTTTAGGGGTGCCTGGACACCCCAATGTTCTCCAGGGCACCCCCGGACCTGAGCCCCCCAATGTTTAAGGGCGTCCCTCCGGAAACAAGAATAGGTATTCCGAACCCCCAGGGTCGATGGCGCCCCTGAAAGCCACTGGCACCCACCTGAACGGAACAGTCGCCCCATTTAAGGTTGATTGCACCCCTCTGAAGTTCACAGCTGCCCCATTCGGCCCCATCCAAGGTCGATGGCGCCCCCTGAAACCACTGGCGCCCCTCTACATAAAGCACCCGCATTCTTCTCAAGATCACAGTCGCCCTATCCGAGATCAATAGCGCCCTCAAGAGAGCCACTAGCGCCCCCCTTGAGACTAAAGTCGTCCCGCTTGAGACTAAAGTCGCCCCATTCAAGCCCAATGACGCCCCTTGAGAGCGTCCGGTGCGCTTCTGAAGATCACAGTCGTCCTCATCCGAGGTCGCTGGCGCCCCTCAAAAGTCACTGGCGCCCATCTTAACGGAGATCACAGCTGCCTCATCTTAAGATCGATGGCAACCCTCTGAAACCAATGGCGCTCTTCTAGAGTACCCGGCGCCCCTCTGAAAATCATATTCGCCCCATCCGAGACAACGCCCCTTGAGACTACAGTGACAGTCCCCCCACTCAAGTTCAAGGCGCCCCTCTAGAGCGTCCGGCGTCCTGCTGAAGGCAACAGCGGCCCCATCCATGCCCAATGGCGCCCCTCAACGCCCTTCTAAAGATCACAGTCGCCCCATCAATCCAAGGTCGCTGGCGCCCCTCCAGACTCCGGAGCCACTGGCGCCCACCTAAACCGGGACTTCAGTCGCCCCATCCTAAATCAATGGCGCCCCTTTGAAACCACTGGTGCCCCTCTGAAAATAACAGTCGAATCATCCGAGATCAATGGCGCCCCTTCAGAGCGTCCGACGCCCTACTGAAGGCAGCAGTGACGCCATCTAAGCATTACACCCCTCTAGATCACCCGGCCCCCTTCTGAAGATCACATTCGCCCTATCCGAGTTCGTTGGCGCCCTCCAGTAGTCACTGACGCCCATCTGAATGGAGACTTCAGTCGCCCCGCCCCATTCAAGATCGATAGCGCCCCCCCCCCCCCCCCCGAGACCACTGACGCTAGGTAGGTAATTATTTGACAATGGGGCTGCCTCATCGACTCCAAGGACCCTTTTCAAGATGCAGCAGCCAGGCGGCGCCGAGCTGGGCTAGGGCCAAGCGTTTCTTATAAGGCAGCCTCGTTAGTGCCACCCCTCGTTGCGATACCGCCCCTCAATGCGACGCCGCCCATTCACCGTACAATGCCACCCCTCAAGGCAAGTGCTGCCCCCCAGCGCATTGCCGCCCATTATTGTGATGCCGCCCCCGCCTAGCAGTGCGGTACCGCCCCAGCGCGTACGCCACACCGACGGAACGATCACTTTTGAAACTTTCAGAGGTTGATAAGACTAACAATATGTATAAAATGTTTATCTCGGACTTTTGATATCCATGACCTAAGGTCAGGTCAATTTTGCGACTTCTCCATTAGGTAGGTATAAGTCAATTGGAGAAAATTGAAATGCGCCTCTTTTGGACGAATGTGGTTCAAAACCCTCTCAAACATCGGTTCATAGGTAAACATAACACACTGAATCGACAAAATGCACCTGTGACCCTTCTGTGTGCCCCTGAGGTCATCTCAGGTCATGAACGGTCACCAGCATTTCTTTGGCTATACCTTTTGATAGAGACGTGCTAAAGCGGTGAAAACACGTCAGATGTGTCCAGCTCGACGATACGGATCGGGTGATATGCAGCATGACCCTGTCCGTCAAGGTCATGACCTTGACCTGAGGTCAAATTTTCAAAATGACCTTTCAAGGTCAACGTATAGTTCATTCGATGCGTTTCGACGAGAGGAATACGATGCTGGCAAAATAAATGTCGTCACTGTCTTGAGTCAAAAGTTATTGCAGAAAACGATTTTAATAAAAACTGTTATTTTTGGAGTTGTTTCCCTCTGGAGGCTAGTGGCAGTCAGTCACTGGAGGCAGTCATGCATGTCCACAAGTAGGGGCTGCACGCACTGGACATCGAAGTGTAAAGGTGATGTGTGGAGAAAAAATCCAGAACGTATGTCAGCGTTCGGTCGCCTCTGACTGCAGTCGCTGCTGGTATGACAATGAGTTGGGATCTCATGGTGGATCTCATGGTCTTAAATGTTCAAGTCTTTCCTTTATTCCAAAAAATCGCAGCGTGTATCTTACATACGTGCGCTCTGAGATTCTAAACACGGCAACCCCGGTCGACCACAGGCTGCAGCCCACATGTCACTTCGGATCAGTGAGTGAGCCCGTATATTTTTTCTTTTTTGCAAAGAATAAAGATTCTGCCTACCGATCAACGTATAGCTATTTTACCGTTTCGAATTCGCATGGATGCGTATTTGGAGAATAAAATGTACATAGCCCGAGCTCGTTTCCTATAGCATGCTAAAAATTCATCTCTATATCATGCTAAAAATTCATCTAGATCAAGGTTTTTTGATAAAAAAAACACCAGGCTGCAAATTGCATTAATTGGATTTTATGAAAATCAGCGAAAGCTGGTTCTTATGTATTTTGCAACACCTAGTAAATCATGCATGAACATGACGTTACATTTTAGACTGACACCCCTGTCACTAGCTGACAATGGCGCCCCTCTCAAGGGAAAAAGTCGCCCCCTCGAGCACCATGGCCCCCCCTTTCGCTGATCTCTGGCTACGCCACTGTCACTGAGCCGCAATTTTGGCATCATCGTGTTCGCCTCGCTCAGTTGCGTCGAACAGTATACTTTTTGTTCGGCTAAAGTCAACTTAAGGTATTGATCTCGTGTCAAGGTAAGGTCAGAGCCCCCAGGTCACCCAGTTGGTGGAATTAGGTCATATTGCATACAGGGGCGGCGCCACGGATTTTGGCCAGGGTGGCAAGCCGAAGTAGGGGGCCTCTTCATAAGAGGGATTCCTCTTCGCCTCTAGGACCTCCTCAAAAGTGAAATGTGTGGTCGTTTGTCAGAACACAGTATATCTGCATCGCCCGAGACCGCCTGGGGGGGGGGGGGTGGATCCGACCCCCCGCCCTCCGTTTTTCTTGAATAATTCATGAAACATTTCAACTATCAACTTCAACCTTCGTATACCTTCTCACCCATCAATTTTACGCCTTGTGGGAAAATTTTGCTCATTTTTGTCAAAAGCGTTTTTAGATGTATCCATTTTACTAACGTGACTACATGGTATTTTTCGCAAAAAATGGTAAATGTTTGAAAAATCGGCAAAAATCAAGGTTAAAAGCAAAATACAAATGAAGGCGGCCAAAAGATGCCGATTGGCGAGATCTTTGAAATGGCTATCTTGTATTTCCCATAAAATGTGTTTTTACCCCTAAAAATTCAAAAAACGATACTTTTTGAAAACAGCTACTTACATCCAAAAATTTTCCAAATAAAAAATAGAAATGAAATATATGTTATACATCTCGATTAGAACATTTGATATCCCAAATTTCAACTTTCTAGCTTGATTTCAAGTCACCAAATTTTAACAAATAGCTCAAACATGTACAGGGCATGGTGACGTCATAGGTATTTTCGTGAGTTTTAGGCACTCTGAACATCGTGAGTAATGATAAATCGCTGCTTTAGTTTCCTGGGACAAAGCTCGTCTACAAATGTGCATTTTTATGTCAAAAATAAATCGAAAAATTGACTTTTTCTTGGTATTGACTTGGTGATGCATGCTTACAAACGATTTTCTATGCTTTCCATACACACTGATGACCAAGGCAGTGACTTTGGGTGACACTCGTATAACCATGACCATCGGATTCGCCGTGAAAAATAACCCTAAAACATGTGTCGCATGCCCACGTAGCAGAAAGTGATCTTTCGTGACCTTTCGTGACCTGACCTGACCTTCACTCGTACTTAGTATGACCCCTATACGCACATGATACCTTCATTAAGTTTTCGGAGTCATTTTTTTGTGAGTTTCGAGCAGGAGCTATCGATTCCGCTGTCCGTAAGCCTCATCATGCAGAAACCCCAGAATTTTACATTTCACCTGACCTTGACCCGAAAGTTGATCTCAATCTTAAAATCTTAAACCGCGCCCCAGTGGTGGTATCAGCCAGCTTCGCCATAGTGGGGGGGGGGGTATATGTTACCACCGACCTTCATCTAAAAAACTAAGAGGGTTAGTGCAGTGATCTGTGCACAGCATGCGACCCACCAAGTTTAAAACCTCTCTGACAAGTGACAAACAGTGGCGCGGGAACTTCTTCCAGACTGGTGGGGGGAGGGGCTGAACCATAATAGAGATCAACCTAGGGTACCCCCAAATCTAGTTTTCTCACCGGTTTTAGGCCACTTATGTTTCAGACTTTGGCCTTTTCAATAAAAAAAAACGACAAAATTGGCAAAAAAGTGAGGTATTCCGTCTCAGCTGAGTGAAGAAACTACCTGGCGTTTTGGTAGCCTGGAGTAAAGGTTTTAATCTGCCAAATGAGTTGCCGAGCCAGTGAAAGAGGTGGATTTTTCACTTACATGCTTTCTTCCTTTGTGACCCACAACCCCTAATTTGGGGAGGACAAGCTGCCCAACGGTTCCTGGCCTCATGAAAAGTTGTGGGGCACCGCCCCCACGGCCGCAGAGTTGTGGGGGCAAGCTTCCCCCACTGCCCCCTCCCCCGGTTCCCGCGCCTATGTATGAATCTATGAAATTATGTTGGTAGATTTCCGATTTCGATTCCTCCAGCTGGGGGGGGGGGCTCAAATACATTACGAGCCCCCCCCCCCAGCCGAAAAGCTGGGGGGGCTCAGCCCCCACTAGCCCCCCCCCCCGATTTCCGCGCCACTGGTGACAAACACTGCAGGCTGGACATGATTGCAAACGTTTTTAGGCTTTGTTAAAGCCGAGTATCTTTTTATGTTGGCTGCAAAATGGATCTTAATCTGTCGAGTTTTTCTTCTGTTGGCAGGTATCTTATGTTAACGGCACATGTCTTATATATGTTTCTAGCGTTTGTCTCGTGAGGTCAGATTTAATTTGCTGATTCAATTGTTGTTTCGTTGGCCAGAGATTATGTTATTTTTCTAGGTTTTGGTATCGCTTTTTTGTCATTTTTATGTTTTATGCTTTTGCGTCCGTTTACAAAATCACCAAAGGACAGTGAGCGGGTGAGCGGCGCGAAGCGGGACGAATTGAACGAACTTGAACGAACGAACCTGAACGAACGAACCTGAACGAACGAACTTGAACGAACGAACCTGAACGAACGAACCTGAACGAACGAACTTGAACGAACGAACCTGTACGAACGAACTTTACGAACGCGCTTATACGAACGCCAACGAATGTTAAATCGGCGGTGTCAAGTTCTTGCCGGTGGCTGCAGAACCTGAAACAATCCGTGAGTTTTCTTTGCGTTTATGTGTTTGTGTGCTATGTGTTTCGTTTTATTTGGTTACTACTTCTATCGTACTTATATTTGGTTACGTCTTATATCGCTGACTGTCTTTTTTAATTGTCATACTTATGGACCTGTTGGTGTGTTTTGTTTCTTGCAGAAAACCGTTTTTAAATACAATGAGTATTGGATCCTGAGGCTCCACCGGTAAAAGTTTTGGATTGTGGCTTGGTATCGTCTTACTCCGGAAATTAAGAAATCAAGTTGAATCCGATGTTCGTCAGTACGAAAACTGCAAGAAGAATCAACAAGGTGGATTAATTCGATTCTGATATGTGTGAGAGGCACAGTAAGTTCTGCAAGACCTTCAAATCTATCATCCCAAAATCTAAGGTACAGTGGCTTCATATTATATTCTTCGGCGTTCTTCAGCAACCTCACGGCCGTCTTCTGGAACCTGCTGGGTAGGGGTTCGGGCTTCTGTTGTTGGGTTAGCTTAGGCCTCTGTCTGTTGTTGGGCTGGTTTGATTTTCTGTTGTTAACGAATACGATTACGAATTGCGCATTGCGACATAGGGCGAGTAGTGCTACTAAGTACTAACTGTTCGGTAGTAAACGAACTTATATGTATGTACACGTACTATCGAACAAGATCACGAATTGCTTGATGTTGAGGTCTTGTAATTTCGTTTAACTGAACTTTTAGTAGATAATTTGCGTGACATGTAATCACGTTCTCACTGTCCTTTTATCCCTTTAGCCCAACGTTTTGTTATTGTTTTTTTTTTTTGTTTTTACGTTTTGTTTTTTCATAATTCCATTATTCTTAATTCCTTTATTCTCTTTGTCTTGTTATTTTTAACATATTATTAGCACTTATCGGCTAGCCATCTATTGTTTACTATTTCACCATATTTGGCTTAGCATCCATTTTGCAAGTCAGCATACACTGCTACCCGGTGCTATACACCCAACTTTTAAACATGTCGGGAAATTTCAACAATATAACTCGGGGGCAGTTGCGAATACTGCTTGATAAGATGGGACAGGATACACAAGGGACAAAATCTGTTTTGATTGAGAGACTTCAAACTTGCCTAAAGGAAGATAATTCTGCATGCCGCTCAAATAGCCCAGTCGTGCCTTTACAACCGGACGCTGATGACGTGCCAAGGCTTAGCACAAGATCACCATTAAAACCTCCCGATATTTCTGGCCTCGAGGCAGCACGTATTCATTGGGAAGTAAGTTCACAAGCTTCGGCCTCGTCTTCGATAGTCTCCGAAAGAGTACGCCGTGCAGGACTACAGGCTAGGGCATCATATTTAGAGCAGAAACATTTGCTAGATCGCCAAGCGCAGGAACTTAAGGCTAGGCAGGAGATGTTGGAGTTGAAAATGCAAATTGGGGAAGTCAGTGCGAGGGAAGCAGCGTTAGAAAGGGAGGAGGAAGGAATTGCAATGGGTTTTCAGGAAACTGAACGTGATGACGCCGCGTTTCGGGATAACGCGCCAAACATGCAATATGTTTCTCATTCTCCCTCAGCTCATTCGCCCTCAGCAACTAGGGACCACTTAGATGACGTTCATGCCTCACAGTCAACCCAATCGAACGTGCGTAGCGACATAAATCCTTCTTATGACCTGGCTAGACGACTCCATCTTCCTCCTTTGGAGATTTCAACGTTTGATGGAGATTTAAGTAAATATAAATGTTTCATGCGGGCTTTTAAGTCAAATATTGCTACAAAGGTAGATGATGAAGATGAAAAATTGCATTATTTATACCAATACACTTCCGGACGACCAAGGGAGATTGTCTCCACATGCTTACACCTGCCACCAACGAGAGGGTTCGTGGAAGCGGTAAGTTTGCTGGATAAACGTTACGGGTGTCCGTTTCAGGTGGCGTCGGGTCTGGTCGATACCCTGATACAATGCCCCGCGGTGAGGCTCGATGACGTCCAGGGATTAGAAACGTTTGCTATTCAGTTGAGGGGAACCATGAATGCCTTGTTAAGCCTCCCATGCGGAACGGATTCAGTCGACATCAAAACCGTCCGTTTGCTCTTAGACAAACTGCCTTCGTTTTTTAAGGATAAATGGCGGATCAAAGTCGATGATATTGAACAAACAGAGCAGCGAAAATCAGACTTTAGAGACTTTGTTTACTTCATTGAAAGGGAGGCGCGCATTGCATCCAACCCGTCATATGGGAGACATTTAACAAATGTAACGAAAAATTACCAAGATAGAAAACATGAAAGCAAATATCACGCGAGAGGGACACTTTTAGCCGGTAACGTCAGCTCTCATCACTCCTCGTGTCTTTATTGTCAGCAGGATCATGAAGTCGCCGAGTGTCCAGAGTTGAGAATGCAGAGCAGAGATGTCAAAATGACGTTTATACGGTCAAATAAGCTTTGCTTTGGTTGTTTGTTACCGAATCATTTAAGCAAATATTGTGAAAATAAAAAGATTTGTACAGAATGTGGGAGTCGGCACCCAACTATCCTTCATTTTGACCGAAAACAAACTCCACTCTCAACAGTCACTTTGGGCCATCTTGCATCAAGTGGAGGAGCAAAATTGCAAGTCGTACCAGTGTGTGTTACGTTATTCGGGGTGACGAAGTTCACGTCTGCCTTTTTGGACTCCGGCAGCACACATTCGTTCATTTCAAGAAATTTACTCGCTAGTTTAGGGGTTGAACCAGCCGAAAGTACTTCAATTACTCTTTCTACTATCAACACAGATCACAAATTTGAAACATGCGTTGTTTCGAAGGTTACCATGGAGGATTTACAACACAACAATAAATTAGAACTTCCTCCGTTATTTGTTCTAAATAAGATCCCAGTGTCCATCGAGGATGCCCCGAACGTTAGAGATTTAAACAAATGGCCGTACTTGAGACAAAACGGGGTATACTTAGAAGAAAACTTTAAGCACGACGTAGGCCTTCTACTTGGGAATAATGTGGCGGCGGTGATGGAGCCGTTTGAGGTGGTTCCCAGTCAGAACGGCGGGCCATTCGCCGTGAGAACCAGGTTCGGATGGGTCCTAGGTGGAGTTGATAAGGATTCTCCGGTTCGTCTGAAAGTTAACCAATTGCAAGTGGCTCTTGACGACGTTTATGGTAATAGGGCTGAATATCGGTTGGGTCTGTCCGCAGAAGACATTAGGTGGCACGAAATGGTAAAGGGATCGTGCCAGCTGATAGATGGTCGGTACGAAATAGCCCTGCCGTTTCGTGATCCAAGTCTTAAACTTCCAAACAATAAGTATGTGGCTTATAGGCGCCTTGTGCAACTGAAGCGCAGATTCGAGAATCAGCCCCATTTCTTGAGAGAATATGCCAAGCAAATTGATAAACTGTTAGACAACGGCTACGCTGAAAGAGCTCCCGATCTCTCGAGCAATGCAGAAGGTAGGATATGGTTTGTGCCCCATCACGGAGTCGAACACCCTGTTAAGAAAGGCAAATTACGCGTTGTTTTTGACTGCGCTAGCTCCTTTCAAGGAAGAAGTCTAAATGAGGAGCTTTTACAAGGACCTGACCTTACCAACACCCTGACAGATGTTCTTCTTCGTTTCCGACAAGAACCCGTTGCCTTCATGGCGGACGTCGAGGGTATGTTCTTACAGGTGAGGATTCCCGAGAAACAGCGTGATTTTTTGCGTTTCCTATGGTGGCCCAATGGAAACATCGCCTCGAATCCTAAGGAATATAGGATGACAGTACATCTTTTTGGCGCTGTTTCCTCTCCTAGCTGTGCAAATTTTGCGCTTCGTCGCACCGCTCTAGACAATGAACGGTTGTACGACCCATTGGTGTCTAGGACAGTTCTTAATAACTTTTATGTGGATGATTGTCTTGCATCGACTGGAAAAGAAGATGTTGCTGTGAAGCTGGCATCTGATCTTAAGCAATTGTGTCTGAGAGGTGGATTTAATCTCACCAAGTTTGTTAGCAATAGCGTTACAGTTTTGAAATCCATTCCAGAAGTTGACTACTCGCCCGGTATCCAAACACTAGATTTGAAATCAGATTCTTTGCCTTCTGAGCGAGCCTTAGGCGTTGGCTGGAACGTTCGTTCTGATCGCTTAGAATATCAAGTTGACTTGCAAAAATTTCGGGGCAAGCCTGTCACAAGACGAGGGCTTCTGTCCGCCACAGCAGGTCTTTATGATCCACTGGGGCATGTTGGTCCGTATGTAATGCGGGCCCGAATGCTCTTACAAGAGCTGACTCGCCTTCGTTTAGGTTGGGACGATGAGGTGCCATCCCACTACCACAGACAGTGGAAGCAATGGTTAGCAGATCTAGAATGTCTATCCCAGTATAGTCTTCCCAGGTGCATATGTTTCGGTGGCCTTTCCTCTGCCGTCCTCCTCGAGCTGCATCACTTTTCGGATGCCAGCGAAAGGGGGTACGGGGTGGCCTCGTACGTGCGAGCCGTCAATGGAGACGGTCAACTGTCTTGCAATCTTTTGGTTAGCAAATCCCATTTAGCACCAATTAAGCCTCTCAGTATCCCAAGGCTGGAGCTTTCTGCTGCAACACTAGCTGTCAAAGTCAATTTAGAAATACAAAGAGCGTTTCCATTCGATTTTAAGCCAGACATCTTCTTCTGGACTGATAGCACTACAGTGTTGAAATATATACAGAATGAGGCAGCGCGATTTCATGTGTTCGTGGCAAATCGTTTGGCAGTTATACGAGACGGCTCTTCAATAGACCAATGGCGATGGGTTCCTTCGGAGTTAAACCCAGCCGACATTTTGTCACGCGGGTGCGATGGAACTACCCTTCTCAAAGAGTGTATGTGGCGTCAAGGTCCATCGTTTCTACTTGAATCACGGGAGAAATGGCCCCGATTCCCTGTCTTAGAAGATAATGCAGAGGACCCTGAACTAAGAGTGACCACTGTTGCATTAAACAGCCGAACAGAAAACGAAACAAAGATTCAAAAGAATTCGAGCATTCAAAAGTTGATTGATCATTATTCCTCGTGGCAGCGTCTGAAGAGAGCAGTTGCGTGGGTACGACGCGTTATAGACACATTGGCTGGTAAACAGAAATTAGCACGGGCATCAGAGCTGACTGTAACAGAGCTTAAGTCAGCCGAGAATATTATCATCAGGGAACTTCAGGGTCAGTACTATGCGGAGGAGGTAGAGAATCTGACAGCAGGACGGGAAGTGCGGCGGTCCAGCAGCCTTGTGTCTTTGGACCCCACGTTGGAGGATGGTCTTCTGAGAGTAGGAGGTCGTTTAGGGCACGCGATGGGCGTGGCCTATGAAAGTAAACATCCTTTGATCATTCCAAATAAAGGGCGAATTCCGGAATTAATCATACGGGATATTCACGAGAGGGTTGGCCATGCAGGTCGTCAATGTGTCCTGGCGGAATTGCGTAAGAGCTTTTGGCTAATCAAAGCCAATACGGCGGTTAGGAGATGTCTCCACCAATGCCTCCGCTGCCGCAGGCTTTTTCGTACTACGGAGACGCAAAAAATGGCTGATTTGCCTGCAGATCGAATACAGCAAAGTGAGCAGCCATGGGTGAGTACCGGGGTAGATTATTTTGGACCATTCTATACCAAGAGAGGGCGTGGACAGGTCAAACGTTACGGTGTCATTTTTACATGCTTGGCCATTCGCGCCGTCCACCTGGAAGTAGTCGAAAGTTTGTCGTCCGACTCTTTTATATGCGCCCTAAAGCGCTTCGCGGCCAGGCGGGGCTCACAAATAAGAATCATGCGTTCTGACAACGGGACAAATTTTGTGGGAGCGGATCGGGAGCTGAAAAAAGAGCTCGAGTTTCTTGTTCAGCATGAAGCCCAAATTCGGAGAGACTTGATAAATCGAGGTATTGAATGGCGTTGGAACCCCCCTGGTGCCTCTCACTTCGGAGGCGCATGGGAGCGATTGATTAGGAGTGTTCGTAAGATACTGAGCGGTTTACTCAGGGAGCAAACATTTACTGACGAAACACTAACCACATTCCTTTGTGAAGTGGAAAGCATTATGAATAATCGACCCTTGGTACCAGTGACAAGTGACCCTCGAGACGACCTGCCGCTAACGCCCAATCACTTGCTGCATTTACGTTCTGTTTTGCTACCAGCCTCAATGGTGACAGATATAGATGCGTTTAGCAAAAAGAACTGGAAACGAGCATCGTTCCTTGCAGAGCAGTTTTGGCGACGTTGGCGTGCGGAATATCTCCCATTACTTCAGCCACGGGCCAAGTGGTCAAGGCTCCAGACAAATTTGCAGGTAGGCGATGTGGTGCTTATTGTTGACAGTTCAGTTCCGCGGGGTGTGTGGCCTCTTGGCTTGATAGAAGAGGTCAGAACAAGCACTGACTCGAGGGTACGATCCGTCAAAATCCGGTGTAAAGGTACCACGATTTGGCGGCCTGTTCAAAAGCTAGTTAAAATCACGGAAAGTTAAAAATCTCTCAATCTGAATAAATTTGATCCCATAGTATCAAATGGGCCGGGTGTTAAAGCCGAGTATCTTTTTATGTTGGCTGCAAAATGGATCTTAATCTGTCGAGTTTTTCTTCTGTTGGCAGGTATCTTATGTTAACGGCACATGTCTTATATATGTTTCTAGCGTTTGTCTCGTGAGGTCAGATTTAATTTGCTGATTCAATTGTTGTTTCGTTGGCCAGAGATTATGTTATTTTTCTAGGTTTTGGTATCGCTTTTTTGTCATTTTTATGTTTTATGCTTTTGCGTCCGTTTACAAAATCACCAAAGGACAGTGAGCGGGTGAGCGGCGCGAAGCGGGACGAATTGAACGAACTTGAACGAACGAACCTGAACGAACGAACCTGAACGAACGAACTTGAACGAACGAACCTGAACGAACGAACCTGAACGAACGAACTTGAACGAACGAACCTGTACGAACGAACTTTACGAACGCGCTTATACGAACGCCAACGAATGTTAAATCGGCGGTGTCAAGTTCTTGCCGGTGGCTGCAGAACCTGAAACAATCCGTGAGTTTTCTTTGCGTTTATGTGTTTGTGTGCTATGTGTTTCGTTTTATTTGGTTACTACTTCTATCGTACTTATATTTGGTTACGTCTTATATCGCTGACTGTCTTTTTTAATTGTCATACTTATGGACCTGTTGGTGTGTTTTGTTTCTTGCAGAAAACCGTTTTTAAATACAATGAGTATTGGATCCTGAGGCTCCACCGGTAAAAGGCTTGGTCAGTTAACTTGACCTGGTGACCTGACCTGACATGAATTGGGGTCAAAAATATCACACATTGTCCAAAATTAATGTACATACAACAAGCTACTCCAAGCGGCGCGGCGCTACGCGCAGCGGTTTATTATTCGCACGCAAAAAAAAAAAAAACGCGACAGGGTGGTAACACATGCCCTCCTCACTGCACTGGGACGAAGGTTAGGAATGCTTTGGGAAGGCCTCATAAGCCGTTTTCACGACGGAATAGCGGGTACCTAATAGATGCCTGTTTGGTCCTTTGATACCTCAGGAATTTTAGTAGTTTCCTTTGATGCCTCAGGAATTTTAGGAGCTCTTTGTAGTAGGTTTTCTACCTTTGGAATAAGTGGCCCGTTACTTTGCGGTTTTTCTACTAAATATTACATTAATTTATTTTATCTAAGGGTTAACCACTCACGCAAACCTAAAGCGTAAGCACGTTTATGAAATTAGCATATCTATGTATATAATGCTAGTACAATGATAAGGAAATATACTGAGCTGCCAGCTGCGGGTGACCGAGCTCTCCCAATTCCACGCTGGCTTGGCTTTGGAGCCGCAGCAGACGGCGGAAGTCAATGTCACTGCTAAGGCGGCGGCGGATTTGATGCGCCCGGCCATCACCATGGCTGACCGACTACCGAGCTCTCCCAATTCCACGCTGGCTTGACTTTGGAACCGCAGCAGACGGCGGAAGTCAATGTCACTGCTAAGGCGGCGGCGGATTTCTTGCGCCCGGTCACCACCAGGGCGCGCGCAGCGTCGGGCCGGTGAAACAGTAGACGCGTTTACATAGGGTTTGTTGCAAGCTTATATCTCCGTCCGTGATGTTGCAAAAGATGCCAATGGTGCTTAACAATTTACAAAATGATCCCTTCTAAATATTTGAAGAACACTGCATCGAAATTATCGCCAAATTAACGAGCTAGAGCCTCGTCAAATATGCTATGTAAACCGGGTTAGTATCTAGTTGCCAGGCTGATTTGATCCCTCATAGTTGAAAGGTGAGCTACTAGAACCGAAAATTGACTTGTTTGTAAATAAATAAGCAATTTGATGGCCAAAATCTCCTGGATTACAGCTTTTAAAAATATTTTGAAGGCAAAAGACTTTAGTTGTAAGGATTTTAAGGCCCTAAAAGGTTGGTATTTTCCCGTTATCAAATAGGTTCCACCGCGAAAGTTCCGTCGTGAAAACGGCCAATGAGACCTTTCGGACGCTCTCTCACGGGGCTCGATACGACCACTGGTTCTCGAGATAGCAGGGGGTCAAATCCGACCCCTCTCCCCCCCAGCCTGTCGTGGCCACACACACCCACACCCACCCCCACACCCACACCCACCCCCACCCCCACACCCACACCCACACCTACACCCACCAGTATGCCTGGGAAATGTTTTCAAGAGCCAAGCTGCGTCGGCAACCGATGGGAGGCTCCAGAGCCCTCGGTGGTACTCTGTTTGGCTTAAATAGTGTAGTAAACATCCATGCCGGGGAAGCAATCCGTTAAAATTCCCACGTTACCAGGTATTTTGCCACAACTCGATCGGCCAACAAACTAGAAGGGGTGTTTAACCCGGCAGTTCGAAGGGTTCATAGGCAAATTATCCCTGTGCCTTTTATGTGAAGAGGTGTGGTCAGGCAAGGGTGACAGAGAGCAGCGTTCTTGTGGTTAGAAGCATCAGCAGTCGTGATTGCATCAGCTGATGGGACATTTCAACCCTCATCTGGCTTATTGGTACTCGACGTAAGTGTGTACACATGGTACAATAACGTCGTATTAGGTGTAAGTATTCCTGATTTAACAGCAATATCTCATAGCTCTTGCTATCATACACAGGAAATCATACCAGAAAGACGTACGATGCTCCACACTGTCGATCAAACTCCCTTTCAGCTTCACTCTCGTCGGGTTGATCGTTTTTTGTCATACAGGTCAAGGGAAGAGAAAACAAACCCCTCTTCGTTTTGCTCCTTATTGAGCTAAGGCTAAAGCGGAGGAAACGAGCGTGTGCACAGTTACGAGACACGGTGAATGGTAGGTACCTAATTTTAAATATCGCGGGCACGGAGGCGTTTTTCGACCCCCAACCATGCCATTTCCACCCATTCCACACACACTGACGAATTTTTGCGATAGCTTCCGAAGGCGTATGGGTTATTAGCAGGAAGCTTTTATTACCTTTTTCCATCAATTTGACATCTTCTAGAGTAAAAAAATGGACCTAGCCCCATATAATACGTCACAGGGTCAATTTCCCTTTTTTCTAGACTCTTGCACGAAAATTCGCCCACGCAGACGTGGTCTTTGCTTCATATAGGCGCCATAAATAGAGGTTTAGATATAAATGCAAACTACGAGCACAGTTGTGTAGCATATGACTTAGGAAAATAGCAAAATAATTTTTGGTGACTTGAGGTCAGAGGTCAGGTTAGCGACCCGGAGCTGGGGCTTTAGTTTTTGCAAATAACTAACTAACATAAAATGGTCATTAAGCTAAGGCAGTGTAATCAATGCATTTTTTTTGGGTAAAATCTTGGAGTGGCATACCTATACATACGTTGCATTTAAAGGTCAAGCTTTTTGAACTCATGTGACCTCAAATGACCCTTGGTTGATCTTGACAAGTGATAGATCTCATGTGATGTATTCGTAACGTTGATGGGGGGGGCATTTTGCCCCCCCCCCCCCTAAGATCTCGAGAACCACGCAACATAGCGACAAGCGGCAAACGGTGTTGGATAGCCCCAACGGGGAACTACCTTGTGACCCAATTTCATTGACCTCGGTCTAACCGATGACGTCATAGGTCAGGTCAAAGGTCGAATTTTCACCGTTTACAGGCATTTCAAGAAATGCGTTGTAAAATCGAGTAAAATGCATTTCATTGAAAATCATCGATGGGGAAATTTCGTCAAACACATAGTTTGCTATTTGAGGTCACTGATACCAGGTCAGGTCACAGAGGTCAGGTCGCTGAGGGTCACAATATAAAATATCATATGATGCATGTTTTATGGTCCATTTTATATGCCAAATGCGATTATGTGGGACAGGCAGCCCTTGGGGTCAGTTTAGATTATGTTTTGGTGACGGTCAGGTCAAGGTCAGGTCAAGGTCAGGTCAAATTTGGTCAAATTTCAAAGTTGATATTTTTGCATACAATGAGTATCGATTCGATGCAGCTCGTGGCGGGGAGTTCAGTGGTGGTCTTTGTTTTGCGCTACGTGGTCTAGAATTGCTAAAAATTTAGTTCAAAAATTTTTACGTCATCAATTTTGAATAGTTTTTTCGCTATAACTTGGCCAAAAAAGGAGGTATCGATCTAAAATTTGGTATTTGCATCGAAGAGCGCAGGGACTATCACATATATTCCGTTTTTTTGAAATTCAAAAAATGTTGGGAATTTTTCGAGTTTTTCTTTAAAAAAAAATCTTCTTTTTTTGGGGGGGGTCAAAACCCTAAAATCTTGAAAATCAGATATTGCAGTTTTGTAGCGCCGTCATTTTTATACACAACCACATAAAGAACAATAAAATTACTTGCAAATTGTAGATTTGGTGAGCGTTTCAAGATGTCATGTTTTTTGCTCATTTTTACTCGAACATGACCTCAGTTTGACCTCAATAACTCCTGACCCAAGGTGACCTGTAACTTGAAATGTTGTGTGAAGGTGTCAAATTGATATCCGGAAAGGTATCCAAAATTTGGCCGCGCTGCGCCCCGCCGTTTTATCGCTATTTAACCCTCGCCAGCACAGGCCATTTTGCGTCCTTCGACGGCACAAGGGGGGTTGGTACGACCCCCCTCGCGTTTGGCCCCTGATCGAGCTAGAGCTTCGCGGAAAAAACGAGCGTGTTGCCCGTCACGAGACAAAGCCGATGATACCCAATTTTAAGGTCCTAGGTCATCGGGTGACCTTCCAGGTCAGGTCAATGACCCGAAAACCGGGAGAATCGGGACCTGTTAGAAAGTCGTAAAGTGTGGCTGCTATGTGGTTTTCCTGGGTTCTGATCACGAATATCATGTTAGTTTTGATCAGAGATGATGTCTTTAAGCATTTAGACCAGGTCGGGTCAGGTCAGGTCAGGTCAACCGGTAGGGGTTGTGACGGGTATTCGTAATAAGTGTCAACCGCCTCTGACATGTTACGAAGGCACCAAAACTACTTCTTAACCCGCGCCCTGCTGGGGGGGTTTTTGAACACCCCCCTTATGGTTTTTCACGAATAGCTCAAAAACGGCGGCGCGGAGCGCCGCCGTTTTTGGTGCACCTTATCATACATCAATTCTACACATGTTGTGAAAATTTCAGACCAAGGTCATTCAAGGTCAGGTCGCCAGGTCACTTGAAGTGACCTCACCTCATAAAAAGTTTCAATGTCTGTCATAGCTACACCGAGTGACCGATCACTTTGAGACTTTCAGCGATTGCTAAGAGCAATAGCATGCACAAAATGTATATCTCAGAATTTTGATATCGATGACCTAAGGTCAGGTCAATTTTGCGACCTCCCCATTATAAGTCAATGGGAGAAAATTGAAATGCGCCTCTTTTGGACGAAAGACATTATAAACACTCCCAAACACCGAATTACAAGTGGTTTAGACACACTGAACATGAAAATGGTGTCCGTGACCCTTGTTTATGCCCTGAGGTCATCTTAGGTCACGAATGGTTTCTAGCAGTTTTTCGCAAATAACTTTTGATAGAGGCATGCTAGAGCGATGAAAATGCCTTAGATGTGTTCAGCTCGACGATACGGATCGACTGATAGGCAACATGACCCTTTCCGGTCAGGTCATGACCTTGACCTGAGGTCAAATTTTCAAGTTGACCTTTCAAGGTCAAGTTATAAATCATTCGATGCGTCTTGACGAGAGGAACACGATGCCGGTAAAAGTAAGCTCGTACAAGGCTTGGGTCAAAAGTTATTGCAGAAAAACTGTTTCCGAAAAAAAATCGGTTATTTT